GGATATCAAAAAGAGCAATTTGAAGATCTGATTCAGAGTATAAAGTTTGAGAGTTGCGTTGTTGAGTCATTACGTGTTATAGTGTTGACGTTAACGCGTCGGAGCAAAGTGGCCGACTCGCTTGGGTGGCCGACTCGCTTGTGAACCACGTTAGAGAAAAACTAGAATATAAAAAAAAAGTTCAGTACATTACACATGAGAATGCATAGAGCTATTGTTATAAATTATATGCCTTCTTCCCAAAGTTACTTCTCATTCATAAGCAAGCTTCTTCCTACTCAAAATATGTCTTCACTATTGCACTGCTGATTAAAGAAAATATCTAGCCAATACACTGATATCATCATATGAAAAACTTCACTTCACCTCACTGCTTCAACAGCCCGTTTTTCATCTTTCTCCCCACATTTTCACCAACAATCATCACCCTACTCCATAAGTAACTCAATAAGCCAGACCCCATACCCAATCTTGCCTCCTTCCCCTACACTGGACTCTCCATCCGACTTGACACACGCACCAATAACACCATCGACATCCTTTTGCAACACCCTGTTGGAACCTGAATGTTCAAGCCACGCCAAGACCATCCACTGTGCATCTCCTTCCACATCGATGGCTGGGTACCCATCGGGCTGAGCCTCTTTGCCCGCCCAACGGTAGAGCGAGGCACATACTTTGCACCCCGGTGCGCCATCTTTCTGTAGAAATTCTACTATTTGGTCTTTGATTTCGATCGCGTCATCGCTTTTATCGCCAGAAAACGAGAGCAGTGTAAAATGCACTCCGACCAAGCAGCCATCTACGTTTTCGGGCATCAAGGCGTGGAACCGCTCCTCTTCGCTTGAATCAACTTCGTCATACACGGCTAGTTTTGAGTTGGCGATTTCGGAAACCATTGCCTCCTTGTCAATGGTGTCGTTTGGATTTTTGTAAGCGACTGCTTGTTCGTGTGCGCCGAGGGGCCGCGTGTATTCTACATTCAGTTTCGGACTTATGTCACGGAAGGGTTTACTTTTTGTCACGGATAGATCGTCTATGGCACATATGTGCACGATTGCAGGCTTTGCGCTTGATTTCTCTTCGTGTGAGTAGTTCTCAGCATCGTCAGGTGCGGTGGCGCGTAGACAGAAGGCTACTTTGGCTTTGGAAGAGGGGATGGCAGGTAGATTGAGGAGGTCTTGGAAGTGGAGTTTTGTCCAGCGGAGGAAGGTTGGGGCAATGGAGACGTACGTGGACGAAGAGAAGGCCGGGTTTGAGGGGCGTGGAATCCATGGGTTTATCTTTTCTTGTTTTAGTTGAGTGAGTAGAGTAGATGTTAGGAGTTCTTAATACAGCTACGACGTGGATTGGAAAAGGGGATGAAAGAAACTAAAAGCTCAAACACCAGGAATCTGGGCTATTTAGATATTCATTTCAACAGCGTATCTTAACACTCCTTGTGTTCCCTAACATACTCAACATTGCAGGCGCTTACTCGATGACGAAATACCTGCATTCGAGTTCCCAATCTTACAGTCCATGTAACCTCGCAACGGCATGCACCACCTGTACAAGTACCCGTCATCCTGACTATATTCCCATCTAGGGAAACGGATATTGGGGTCCCGCCTGTGCAGAACCACATGTACATGTATGCGCATTAAATACCCAACCCATAAACCCAGGAAGCCACTTGATGCAGAAAATTAGAAGAGGAAGGATAACCATATCACTCCCTTGAATAGATAATACTGCAAAAACATGTTTTGATATGTCGTCCCAGTTACACTGCACTACGCTACACGATCCAAGAGACAGGTAAGTCACGTTGTATAACAGCACCTGGGAGCAAAATAGCAACAAGCGGGGGTAAGCATATTGTTCCAGTGTCACTCATTCGACCTCGTATCCAACAACAACTACACCATACATCCACAAACCAATATATATCTTGCCAACTCACAATTCGCAGCAATAGTTCAGCACTAATAAACCCCCATCCATTCTATCCCACCAAAAAAAACCCTCGCCTTTCACCATCCCCCACGCCTCCCTCCCTAGGAAAACCACAAACATAACGAAAAAAAAAAGAAGGCAAGCATATACCATACCACTCTTTGCACCTCCCGATCTTACCATCCGATCTTACCCACCAACTCATTTTTACACTTCCATAACTAAAAAAAAACCCACCTCATCTCGCCCACACCCCCTCAAATATATAAACTTCAACGCTACACAAGTCAGCCTTGCATTAACGCTTGACACTAACCGTCGACACTAACATCGACACTACTTTCGCAGGCTCTGGCTTGGAAAAAAAGAAGGTTCGGGGGATATACTAGGGGGGGTGGACTAAGTTAGTATGCGCCACCACGAGGCTTTATACACTTAAAGAAAACGCAAGGGGGGTAAGAGTTTGGATAAAAGTACGTAGGCGCGCTTCCTTAACGTTGCTGAAGAAGAAGGGGGACGAGTGGGAGATTACACACGCATGGTAGAAATGTTGACATTAAATCCGGTTTTACACCCACGTTGAGAATAAAAGAGGAAAAAAAAGGAGAAAGTGATCTGATATGATATAACTTCTCATCCTCCTCAGTGGCCATCCTAAAATAACTACCTCTCCGACTCCCCATCTCCATCTCATCCCTCAATGACATGATCGCTAAAAAAAGTAGTAGGAGACAAGTTGAAAAAGAAAACGCCAATATCCCATGTTTATCTTCCCTTTCCCCTCGCTCACTCCACTTCATCTCCATCTCCCTTTCTCTCTCAACAGAGTGTGAAAAAAAACCAGAGAGAAAGAAAGACAAATAAAACAAGTTAATATCACACATACACAAACACACATGCGTACTACATCTATTGCAGCCTTTCGACACACACACACATCTCTCTGTCTTGCATCTTCTCATATCATCGGCGGACTAATAAATCACCCAGTAGCTTCCGCATCGGCATCGGCATCGGCATCCCCACCCTCACAGTCCTCAAACTCCTAGTTCGTCGGCTGTCGCGGCAAATGCAAGAAAATAGTACACTTTTCAATCTCGACGTCTTCCTTCTTAGCAGGCGTAGCTCCCGCATTTTCAGATGATGATTCTTTTCTTTCTTTCTCCGCAATGATTTCAACTTCGATGCGATTTACGCCGCTGAGGAGTTTGGCTTCGAACAGGGGTTCGCCTTTCTTTTTTCCGCCTTCGTAACCGGGTCCTGGGCTGGCGCCATTGATGCCGGCTGTGACTGGGACGCGGTTTGCTTCAAGAGTCTTGTTGCCGTTGACGGTGACGAAGAGGCGGTACATGCGGTTGGTAAGTGCAATGGGGATCTTGGGTACAATTTGGATGTAGGAGTGGGCGGGCGCGACAACCATGGTGGCACTGTACATGGTCTTCTGCTTGTTGGCGAGTATGTTGACGGACCATGGCTTTGATGCGCTCAGAGCGGGATGTGTATTTAGTGTGATTCTGGGTATTAATGCATCTTGGTAATCTACACGGCCATTAGCAAGAAAGATCAATCATCCCAACAGACTGGACTTACTCTTCAGTGGGGTCTTCCTGAAACAATCAACTCGTGGTACAGGAGGCGCATGGTAGCTCTGTTGTTGTGGTGGAGGAGCGTAGTGGCCATTCTGCAAACCAAGGCCATTTGGATGTGGACTGCCGCTGGCTGTGCGAGACATGTTATGTGGTGGAGCCATGTGTGGATGCGGTGTTTGGACAGGAACACTGAGTCGTGAGCTATCGGGCGCGGTGCTTGCAGGCCTTATCGCGCTCAGCGCCGGAGACTGCACATCTTGCTTGACACCGTTGACAGCTGGTGGAGACCCCCCAGTTTTACCTTGGGCAGCAGACAATGGAGCGCTCGTCGAAGCGCCGCCCTTGGGCCCAGAAAACGGATTTGCTGATGCTCCAGGCGTTGCTGCTTCGCCAGACGCGGCTCGTGATGACTGGTTCCCCATGCTGTTGAGTACATGCCGTTGCTGCCGTAAAAGAGCGTCGTTGTCGACAATAACGCCCGGAGTTGCAGAATCGCGAGCACTTGGAGTATTAGGCTCTGAGCCTGGACTTGGTTTGAGTTTTAGCTTCAATTGCTGCTTAGGAGCTGCTGATGCCGTCGACATGTTAAGTTTGAGCTTCGGCTGTGTTGGCTCGTTGACCTTTGATTTGGCCTCTTCAAGTTTTTTGTAGAAGATTTCCTGGGCAAGTTAGAAAAGACGTCAGTCAGGATGGATTCAGCGTACCTCAAGCTCCAACGACAAATTGTAAATATCACTCCCGTCTTCGTTGTAGATGCGAGCATTCTTCCAGATCAAGCTGAATGCACTTTCAAAAGCATCCCAGCTCTTGAACAGGGTATGGCCTGTAGGAGCTTCGCGACCAATGACGCCCCGCACTTTCTTCTGTATCGCAGACAGCGACATGGGATCCTTGATCAACTGATAGTAGTCCTTCAAGCTCCGTGATGGGAGATTTTGGAAGGGGACGAATATCTGTAGGCCTTGACTGGAAGGGTATTAGTACTGATGCAATACAGTGCAGCTGAGATACACCACTCACTCCTCGTATTCAATAATCTCCCGTACAATCTGTTCCTGTGCCTGCTGAAAGGTCTTGCCTGTATACTCGGCACCATCGTTGTCATCAGGCGCTGCAGACGCCGATTGTCGCAGTTTCGATGGGGCTGGCGTAGCTGATGCTGCAATAGCAGCTGCTCGCCGAGGGCGTTCGACGGTGTCATGTGTAACGGGTGTCTGTGGGACTCTGGGCGTTGATACGACGCGGGGCGACGGTTTTGAGGGAGTCGAGTTGTCTTCGCCAGGAATGGGAGTAGCTACTGCGACGTAGTTGCCGTCCCGGTATGCTGGATTATGCTTCACCATCCAATTGGAGGCAGTCTTGCGTAGGCGCTCAGCATCTTCGTAGATGACTGATTTCTTGTCGTTGTAGGCCTTTGCATTGTTGACGAGTCGTTTACAGTCGCTCTCGACTTGAGCCAGGCTGGAATATTCTCCATTGAGTAGTTTTTTCTGAGGCGCCTCGAGTCAGCAATCCCGCACGAGAGGTATGAATAGTAGCAAATAATATAGGGTGATAGTATTGAATTCGGATTGGCGGTGGTGAAGGCGCATGATATATGGGTGAAGATTGCAAAGGAGCAAACAGCAAGTAAGCGTACCTCGATGGTGTCTATCGCAATGGGCAACTTGGTATACTCGTAGTAGTCGGGCACTTCGTCCTAGACACGGCTGTCAGTGTGGGCCCTGATGGCAACGGGACCAGAACATACCCTATCCGGGAGGGTAAGGAAGTGAACTGCTATGGGTCGTCCCCTGCAGGCTGTCAGTAAGGAATCGCGGGAATTGCTCGCCTGAAGGCGTAGAAGCTATGCCATGTGAGACTAGCGACAGAGGCCGAGCACGCACGTCTTGTCTTTTGCCTGCTTCAGGCTGTCGAGGAACTTCAAGCCGGCCGTCGTCGTCGAGGCTACCGTCTCCGAGTTGGCATTGGTGTCGGCCTGCACGCGAGCGGGTCGCTGTCAGCAAAGGTTCGTAGGCTATTCGACAATGGTTCTCCAGGGAGTCCTCGATGCATCGCCGGCGCGCGCGTGGTGTTGGGGGCAGCGAGGAGGGGCCGACGGAGGTGGTGGCTACTCGTCGAGCCCCCCAGGTGTCGCGCGCTCTTGTCCAGAGCCCATCCCGCATCGCGACCAACACGCCTTGTGCATCTCCAGAACACACCCCGACGATGCATCAACCCTCGCCCATGAACTGCACGTACCGGCCCTTTTTGTCGCTTCGCAGGGCGATTGTCGTGGTCGCTCGCAGCGGCGTTGGCGGCTTTCCGTTTGGCCGCGCTTTCCATTGCCGGTACTTTTGCGATCGCGTAGTCTATCCAAACGAGGCCCACAAGGTCTCGAGGCGAGTAACGAGTGTGGCGGCGGTGCAGTGAGTTGCGCGTTCAGTCGTCAACCCGGTGGACGCGCCGCAGTGCTCAATCTAGGGTTCTCCCGGCTCTGCCAAGACTGTGTGCACGAGCCAGGCAGCGAGTGCATCACAGACCCAACACTGTCGTTGTTGGACACATATCAACCAACAATAGTAACACGAATAAAAACAATCAAAACACACATTATACCCCGTCAATTTCGAACTACAAACACTGATATCACCATTCAAGAGCTACTAGGCGCGGTGTCCTGGCTGCTGTCTCTCAGGGGTATACATGGAACAATGAGACCCTCCGCTAATACCGCAGCAAACCCATCATGTTTGTGACAACACCTCAGCAACAAGGAAAAAGACTGCCCAACAAGCCCCTTTACTTGCTTGCTGCCTTTTCTGATGTTGCGTTCTTCTCAAACTCTGCCCGCGCCTCCTGCTCCTTCATCTCGCGCACTTTGGCAAGCACAACTTCTCTGAAGATGGCTCCCTTTGCGATTCTGCTCAGACGTCCAGGTCCCTTGCCTGTGCCCGGCGTCTCCTTGGTGTCCAGGCTCTTGCCGTCTGAATGTCCAGCAATGGCCTCACCTGCGGCCTCGCGCGCGTTGGCAGGCACGTCAGCCTCGCCAGGCACGTCTTCCTCCTCGTCTTCCTGCATCTTGAGCGCTTCAATGCGGTTTGCAAGCTTGACCAATTCGATACCGCGCCTGAGACGAGCCTTTGCCGCGTATGCCTTGATCTCTGGCACCAAGTTGTGATCCGTGGCAGTTTTTCCACTGAGCCATACGTGCTTGAGGGCAGCCTAAACATTGTTAGCCGTCAATCGGTACTTGAGGAAATCTTGCTCACTTCGCTCGTCGGTCGCTTGGATGGGTCGGGCTCTAGCAGATTCTTGATAAACTCCTTGGCCTCCGGGCTGACTTCCTTCCAGTAGCGCTCGTGGAAAATGACACGGCCATTCTTGCATTCCTCAATCAAATCCGCAAGGTTCTCCGATCGGAACGGTGAGTATCCGCAGAGCAGTGTGTATGTGATGACTCCCATAGACCACATGTCGACGGGCTTTCCGTGGCCCTTCTTGAGCATCACCTCAGGAGCAGCGTATCCAAATGAGCCAGCCATGGTGGTTAGGACTTCGGTCTTGGAGTCGAGCATCTTGGCGATACCGAAATCAGCAAGTACGAGGGATGAGTTTTCGTCGCGTGTGAGATAGAGGAGGTTCTCTGGCTTGAGATCTGTCTGTTGTTAGTATCGTTGTGGTGAACCAGTGGATGCACAACAAACCTCTGTGTACAACATTGTTCTGGTGAAGGTAGTTGACTGCATCAAGCACCTGTCGAATCGTCTCGGCAGCGTCCTTTTCTGTAAACTTTCCCTTTTCACAGATGCGGTCGAAGAGCTCTCCACCAGTTGCCAATTGGGTTACAATGTAGTATTTGTCCTGGGCAGAATGTTAGCTTACTGGCCTGCCCCACGTCGTTTGTTAGCATGCCTACCCTTGACTCGAACCAGTCGTGAAACTTGACAATGTGCGGGTGCTTCATGCGCTGCAGCATCTCCAGCTCGTCGTAGACCATCTGCTCGTTTCCGCGGACATTCTTCTTCAGGATGATCTTGACGGCAACCTTGCCCTCGGGACAGTCAGCCTCCCTGACAATACCGTATGTTCCGGCGCCCAGTGTCTTTCCGAAGCGGTATCGTGATCTGCAATTGGTACGTTCAGTAAGGGTGCAAGCGGAGGCGGGGTATCAAGAAGCACCCACTTGCGATCATAGCTGTCGGGCTGGCCGTGCAGCTTGTTGAGCATGTTGGTCACTGTGCACGCAGTTAGTCAGGCGAGCAGCTTGCAGCGCAATGCAGAGAGCAGGCACATACTCATGACGGGCAAGCCGGTGTGCAGTTATACGACTGCGACGGGCGTGTTTTGGGGCGGAAGGTGAGGCTTTGGGGGTGCCTATCGGGCGCGTTCAGCTGGCGGGGAGGTTGGTGAGGGGTAGGTATCAACAGATACGTAGGAAGCAAGGCGTTCTGAACGAGGAAAAGAGCGGGCGGCAAAGGAAAAAAAGAAGTGGTGAAAAAGGAGGCACAGGCTGAGCTGGGTCAGCAACAATAAGTCCAGGGTCTGTTTCTGGACGAGCTGGAGTTGCACCTGGGCCGACGGTGGGGGCAGGCGCAGGCGCACCTGAAAGTCGTGTCCGCCTCGTGGCCTGTGGCTGACCTTTTGTGAGGCGCAGCACCGCCTAGCTGCGCAACCCAACCATGTCTATACGTTCGCACCAATACTCTCCGTGTCTATGTATATCCCGCTGCCGCTGCCGCTGCCTCCTCATGGCCATGTATGCAAGGCTGCATTGGCACTGCTTACGGCTTTGCTGTGCACACTGAGAGCAACAGCCTGTTTGGCGAATCTCTGCTGTCAGCCGCCATCACTCCACAGTGGCTCCTGTCATCTCTAGCACCCAAAGCATGGGCCTTACCGAATCCACTCGAGGCGCATCTGGCGCGTCTCCCCGAGTGCTTGTCGCCAGTATCAGCAAGAGAAGATAATACATCATAGGGAAGGGAAGAGACGTCAGTCTAGGGAGGAACCATCAAACGGTCGGGTGTAAGGGCCGATCCTGGTCGTGCAGCGGGAGCAAGGCAAGCCTGACAGGTTTGCATGTGCGATTCCTACGTCATGCCGTTTTGCCCATACATAAAATCAGGGTCTTGATCAATACACACACACAACCATCACATTTCTTCAGCTTTCTCCAACCTCTCTCCAGTAGCAGTACTTTATCTATAACCCTCACTTCACAAACACACTCCCAACTTTCAACCATGGCTGTCAGCTTCCTCGCAATCTTCGCAGGCCTCATCGCCTTGACCGCAGCCTACCTGTACGTTTTCGGTATCTCGCCTGAGCTAAAGCGCAAGATGGAGCGCCAGGCACTCAAGACCATGGGCGAGAACAAGATGTCTTACATGACCAAGGGTAAGTCGTGACATGCTCCACCCCCCTCCCACCATCACCTGGAGTACACTGACACCTTGCAGATGCCATCGACAAGGTTCCTGCCTCTGACCAGGAGAACATCAAGAGCCTCAAGAAGGGCCTCGGCAACATTGCCGGTGGCGCTACCCAAAACCCCCTTGGCGAGCAAACTGGTGAAGCTGCGGACACTCTCACCCGTCCCTTTACTGGTCGCTAATGCCCCTTCTCTGTACAGTTCACGCAGTCACCCAAGCCAGGGACTCGGCGTCGAACTCAACTAAGAACGTGTGGCTTGACTGGGACACTGTCCAGAGTTATCCCAAAGCTGCGCTTGACCGTGTCTCGGCAGTAACGAACAAGACTCAGGATACCGCTCAGTACCATGTCCCAAAGAAGGCGGAGTAACGGCGTGATGATGTATGGGTGGATGAGTGGTTGGTTTTTGATGAGCGTTCTCGTTGTTCGGATATGATTCTGACGCATCTCTTTTCTTCTTCCGGTGGCTACAACCACCTCTCACGACCTCGATGACCCCTTTGTAATAACACTCAATATCTCATGAAGCTCAACTATTCAATCAATGTCTTGATCTCACCTTCATCTTCTTACGGTTACCCCGCCACTCCACACTAGCCAAGCTACACCCTCCCAGCACAGCACAATCCCCCAGAACACAACCTGGAATGCAACCTTCTTCGTCTTGTGTTGGAAATAATGCATCCCCGCCAGTGCACCCGGCCATCCCCCAACAAGCGCCAACGTCTGCAACGTCGTTTCCTTGACCCTCCACTCCATATTGCGCGCCTGCATCTTATCATACCCATAAAACAAAAACGTAGCGCCATTAACAATACAGGTATACAGAACTGCATGCAAGGGAAACCGCGACAGAGTGTATAGTCGCATGAGTGCCGCAGCGGGGAGAAGCAGTGACGCCACACCAGCTACTGTTGCTACTGTCCAAGGTCGATGTCGGGGTTTAGCTCGTGGTACCATCTTCACTTATACTGTGTATGAGTGCGTTTATACGTGGGGATATTTACGCGGTCGTTCAAAATAGGACAAAAAAAATAGCGTATTCGGATTGTTAGACACGAATATTCAGAGCAGACGTTTGGAAGGCGGGGTGAAAAGCAAGGCTGCGATGGCGCTGTTTTCTTAAGCGGCTCGCATGCCCTGTCGATCTCCCGGTTTGGCGGGTTGCAGGGGCGCTTGGGCGGATGGGGGTTAGTATAGATGTATGGAGTGGACTTTGACGTGTAGTTATCGTGACGTCTTGTCTGACTATGTGATGTACAGAGGAGCTTTTTTCTTCTTCTGTTCTTTCTGGTAATAGATCTTGCGTGAGTTCGCTGTGTCGCAAAAACAAAAAGTATGTGGTATTGATCAAGGTGAGTATTACGCCAGCGAGAAGCATCGACAAGTTATTTATCGGATTTTGTTCAAACTGCAAACATCTGCATACAACTTCAATACCCAGGTGTTTACACGCCTTCCTATTGTCGATTTTCTCACCTCACAACAAACACTGGTAAACACACACACGCATGCTTGCACCTTCCTCAGCCCGTCCCGCACCTTCTTACTTAGATTCAACCCAAGCCACGCTTGCAATTTCACCTTCCGCCACCTAATTCCACTCTCATCAATCCGACGCATCGGTCGTTGAATCCCAGTTCAGCCACATAACATACGTCATGCAAATACAATTACAGCCCTCCCAAACCTACTTCGACTCACACATGATGCTGGGCCTAGATCACCTTCTACTCGCCTAAAAAACCGCAGGTACCTACGCACGCTTTATCCACCCACGCTGACGTGTATTTAGACCCTGTACTGATAGCAAGTAGCAGCCTCATCAAACATCAAGGCCCGACTATCGGGTACACCGCAACAATCCTTTTGAGGTATTATTCGGGCTACTTACTAACCAAAACAAAAATCGACATGGTTGAGGAAGAGACGAAAATATTCGGATACTTACGTATTTCCGGAACGACAGTAAAGCCGGCTGACAGCGCTACGAGCCGGAAGAAACAAAACAAAATATGCCGGTGGGCATAGCTTCGACTAAACGGGCATATTACAACCTCATCCTTCGGCATGGATGCCATGTTTAAGTGATACAACGACAGTTTGACACTACCATGCTCGCATTTACAACAAACACATGCAAGCCTAGGCAAAGATGAGCAGCTTTTTTTCTTTCTTTCTTTCTCTATTATGAAAGGGCGACCATCGAGTTCTCTCCCTTGGTTTAATTTGTTGAGAGAACCAAAAAAAACGCCACTAACTTACTTTACAGGGCCCTATAATCCCCCTGTACGGAGATTAAATTTCTCCAATTCACCGAAAAAAAAGCACCTTATCGCGGCACCCCTAACCCTTCGACAATGATGTCCCCAAAAAAACCAAAAAAAAACAACCCGATGGGAAAAAAAAAGAAAAAGCTTGTTTGAAGGGAGTTGCAATAGTATCAAGAGTTAGATTTTTTTTGTTCCACTCTACTTGCTACTAGGTATAAGAAATTAAACACTAAAATCAGCTACACAGGCTTCCTCAAAGCCGACAACTAACCACCTTCATCCTCTATATCGACGTTGCCAAGTCCTCATTTGTGTATGTATTCCCTTGTTTCTCAGGAATAACTACACAAACGAAGGGCAAAGGAACTAATAAAACAAAGGGAAGAAAATAGTAAGACACATGATGGCGTGATAAAATGGAACCCCGCAGCATAAGTAACGAAGCTGACTGGGATTTGAACGTGTTGTGTGTGGTTGATGCGCTACATATAGAGATACATATGGATAAATATTGATTCCCCCCTCCCTTCATCTTAAAAGGTTACTGTGTTGACTTGCTTATGAGAGGACATCAATGCAGCCAAAGTGCTGCTCAACGCCATAGGCACCAGCAGGCTTCCAGGAGTCGTCCTGGTAGGAGAAAACACTAGCCTTGTCACCGACAGCCTCCTGAATCTTGTGCATGGCGGTGCGCTGAGCGTCGGGGCTAGCGACGGCCTTGCCGTTGGTCTGACCCTGGGAAGGCCATCCGATCTCGCCAATGTAGGCACCACGGGCAGCGGCCTCGGGGCAGACCTTGGAGGCTTGCTCGAGCTGCTGGGCGGCAAAGTCACCGGCCATGTCGGCACTGACGGACTGGGTGAAGTAGGGCTGGACCTGGCAGACGAAGACGTCAATGTGGTCGCAGAGGGCGGCACCCTTGCTCTCCCAGACGTCGACGGGCTCGGTGGTGGTGATAGGGATAGTCGAGGGGAAGCCGGCGCCACGGAGCTCATCGCGGACGTGGTCGATGTAGGAAGCAAGTTGCTCGGGCTGGCAGTTACCGTTGAACATGCACTCGTTACCGACAATGACCATGGAGGCGCTGTCCTTAGGGGCCTTGTTCTTGATGTCGTCGAGCTGCTTGTTGGCGTACTCGGAGAAGCAGCCCTTGTCGCCAGCCTCGAGGTAGATACCGTAAATGATCTTAAGTCCGTGCTTCTCGCACTCAGGGACAACGTTCTCGAAGACACCGCAGTCGACGTTGTACACACGGATGGTGGTGAAGCCTAGACCAGCGATCTTCTCAATGTCAACAGCAACCTCACTAGCTTCCTTGCACAGGCCGGACTTGGCGTAGGGAGTGTAGGTAATGGACCACTTGTCGCCGTTGGTTGGGAAGTGACCATTGCCACCGGATGGCTGGGTAGGCTTGGGCTGCGCGCTGCTGGTGGAAGGAGTAGGCTTGGGCTTGGGGGTGTCTGGGTGGGCAGGCTGGCTCTGCTGAGGAACAGCGGGGTAAGTGGCCGGCTGGCTCTGCTGAGGAACGGC